GGGCCAGATGCGCGGTGCGCTGCCTTCATTACATCATTCGGCTGCAGTCCGCGCACTGCGGAAATCAAACACCGCGCTTTCCCTCTGGTTTGAAATGAATTTCGTACGGAACTGGAGTTCACGCGCCAAAATTTAGAGATCGCGTAGGTACTGGAATGAATCGAGCAAAAACGGATGGGCTCGTACGAGAAATTGTGGGTTTGAGTGCATGCTTTCAGAGCGTGATGGAGGCAAGTTACGTAATGAAGGCAGCGCACCGCGCACTGGCCCATAACCACAGTTGCATACTCTTGTTTATGCACTCTTGGTGCGACCAAGAGTACATAAAAAACAGAGTGTGCAGCTCGAATGGGTTGCTGTCACGGCGGAATTCCGTGATGACATCATGTTAGTGATGTAGTGCGCACAAGCAGGATTCAAGCAGGTCTCTTTCTGCACAACTGCAGCTCAGTTGTACGCACTACGCCATTTCCCGCCTCGGATCTCAGCGCCAAATATGATGTAATCACGGAATTCCGCCGTGACAGACACCCCGGCATAGCAGAAAAGGCCCCAAGCTGCACACTCTGGTTTTCATGTACTCTTGGTTGGACGCATTGTACCATGGGCAGTGGTGACCCGTGCACATTTTGAAGAATGCACCAAGTTTGGCACACTTTTTCACAAAAAAATGTGCTCTGTTTCTGGAGTACCGTTTGGTTGGCATGAGGCTGTCCCTCCAGGAATCCGCGATTCTGCGGCCGCGGAATTCCGCGGAATTCATATTTTTTTAATATCCCGCGGAATTCACAGTTTTCACCGCAGAATCGTGAAAAATCACGGTTTGGGGGCAATGCGAGCACGCTCTTCATATTCATGCACAGTGCAGTGCCACGGTCCTGTCGCTATTTTGTTGCATTCAAAGTCGAGGGAGTTTTGCAATTTTACACAGAAAACTGTACCAGTTTTCTTCGTTACTGTATTGAGCCTACAGTCGACAACTAAATTTTTTATTGATACTTGTACATAGCATATAGCCATGTCTTTTCGCCGGTGCAGCGCCGCAGAAATACCGCAGTATTGCCGCAGAATTCACGCTATCCGCCGCATAATGTAACGACAAGAGTCCATAACCCCCAGAGTGTGCAACGCCACATAAATGTCTGTCACGACTAGTTTCCAACATTACGTCATTTTCATGTAGCTGCGCGTGCAGGCCGCAACATTCGCTACATGAAAATGACGTAATGTTGAAAACGAGTCATGACAAGACCCTATCGCGCGTTGCACACTCTGGGGGTTATGGACTCTTGGTAGCGATTTGTGCCGCAGAATTCTGCGCAGAATTTCAACTTTCTGTCCGCAGATTCCTGGAGGGACAGATGAGGCTGCTCCACGTGCACCAACTGTTCGATCCTGTTCTAGATCGTACCAACCAAACACACCCCAAGGCTATAAGCAATTAGAATTATTTCTGAGCAGCCCAGATTCTAGATATAGGACCTCGATGGGCAGGGTTTCGATGCATATGTTATGAGTCTTATGACCATAAATTATGCCCTTCGCTATGGCCGGCCATCCAGTACATGCAGCCTCCATCACTGTTTCACGAACTCAACAAAAGTAAATACAAAAATTAACAAAAAGAACAGAAAGAAATGTACAGTACAGTCAGTAGCTAGCAGTACGTCGAGTTTTCTTACACACTGGAAGTCACTTTCAACTCTGGAAGAACAGGATTGCTGGCCTGAAGGACTCAGTTCTCCTCCTCATCTACACATGCCACCCTGGCCTGGCGTCCATCTGCATCCACGATGAATAAAAACTACATTTCTCATTCAGGAATTTTCAAACGTTCAACATGCTGAGGGAGATGTTTGACTAACAACTCCATCAGACTGTTTCCAGGCAAGGGCACCGAGCTGAACACAAACGGAAGGCCGAGCTTGAGCTGCGCACAACATCAGCAGAGACCAAGGTTGGCAAGGAGGTAATGCTTTCTCCAACAAAGAATCCTCGAAACATGATTCGTGACGTTGCATTATTTTGCATGCGAACTGCAAAAGCGAAGGTGAGGCTAGTCGTCACGTCACGTCAACGAGTTGAGTACGAGTGTTGTAGAATCTGTGCTGGATACGGCATCCCGTCGTACACACAACACATTCTGCAGATCAAGACTATTTTTGTAGAGAAGTGTTTTTTTTGTCTTATGACTTGCTTTTGAAATTTAGCTCTCTCTCTCTTTCTCTCTGTTCGTATTTGAAGAAAGCCTGCCAACATGGTTAATCTAGGCAAACTCTCGAAGGAGGAAAAGATTAAAATATGCCGTACTTACTGGCTGGTTGGACTGGCCCTCCTGCCTTTAGTCTGGATCATCAACGTCGTCTGGTTCTTCAAAGAAGCGTTTCTGCGTTCCGACTATCTGCCTGAAGTACGAAGCTATGTTATTCGCTCCCTGGTCGGAGCTATAGTGTACATGGCCGGTATCATTGCGTGGATTGCGATCTATCAGACCAATCGT